AGCATTATACGTTCAGCGTCGAACATTCAAGTTTCTTATTCTGTTTCAAATCCTACTTCTATTTCAATTAGGGTTTCTAAAACCTTATAAATACCAATCCAAATTTAGAATTAAAAGAACTTAGGAGGCTGTTGGCAACCCTCTTTTGGGTATTCTTGGAAATCAAGATATAGATTTAAGACTTTGTTTATAATTTCTAAATATTTTCAATTTTTACAATTGTAAAAGGGTATAAGAATTTGTTTATAATTTTTATTTTTTTTAATTATGTTTCTATTATTTGGATATTAACATATTTTATATTTATGTTTTTTACTTAATATTAAATTTATTTACATTATCTCATATATTTAATAGTGTTAAAAACCGATCAATCCGACCGAACCACACCGATCCGATTTAAATTGGATTAGTTCGGTTATCATATAATAATGGATTGAATTGGTTTAAAAATTTTACTAACCAATTAAATTGGATTAGATTAAAAAATGTTAAAATCCGAACCGAACCACCTCACGAACATCCCTACTTGCCGCAGATCTCCCATCGTAGGGTGGGTGTCTCGTGTTGCGGGGCCTATGGGCCGCAGACAAAAGTGCCGTGGTCAGTGGACTGTCGGCCGACTAAAATCCAGTTGTGGGCCAACCTGGCCCCAAACCCTAGATTCTCTTATTCAGCCCAATTAATCATTTATTCCTTGATTTCAACGAATGCAATCATTTTACGGCAACCAAAAAAAAAAAAAAATCTTAATAATGCTTCTTGCCATTTTAACATAATTATTAGCATTTTATGCGTTATTTTCAATTTTTTTTTAATGAACATATGTGTTATTTGCATTATACTAGCTTTATTCATTTTTATTTAGAGTAATATCAAGATCTAATTTGAGTAGCGTTTAAATAAAAGTAAAAAATCAGTATTTATTTAAATAAATATACTACTTTACCATCAAATATATAGTAATATATATATATACACGTATACAATAGTTGATTAAAAAATAAATAAATGATGTACTTTTAAATAGAAATTATCAAGTTTAAGTCAATATTTGACACCTATAACTTTTTTAATATTGATAAGTGGTATTTTAATAAAACACGTTATGTCATATTTTTGTTTATCTAACTCTCTCTCTTATCTCATCTGATAATCATTTTTACCTATAAATTATATAATTTATAAAGTCTTATATTTGAGATTTTTTACTTTAATTTTTATAAAAAAATTATCATTAAATCAATTAAAAAA